CCCGCCCCGGCCCCCGCACCACCCCCTCCGGGGACCTCGGACCAGCTCCCGGCGATGCACCCACCGGGAATGGTGGAGCCGAGGCGCCCGGTCCCAGGGTCACCCTGTCCAGGAGCCACTGTGCACAAGGGACAGATGCCACCGTGGGCAGGGACCACAGTGCCCAGAGGTCACCGTCCCCAGGGAGCCATCATATCCTGGGAAACACTGTGCCCACAGCCCATCATCCCCAAGGGCCCACCAAATCCTGGGAAACACCATTCTCCCAGGCCACCCTGCCCAAGGAGCTACTGTGCCCATGGGCCACCATGCCCAGAGGGTCACCGTGCTCAGGGAGTCACCATGCTCGCAGCTTATGCTTATGGGCCACACTGCCTGTTAGCCACTGTGCACAATGGGGCACCAAGTCCTGAGATCCACCAAGTCTATGGGCCACCCTTTTTTTCTACAAAAGATGATCACTTCCAGACCAGTTTCCATGCTCATCTCCTGCAGTAACGCCTGCAGGATAACGTTCACCCACGGGCTCCTGTTGCTGGTCTCCCTGCAGCATGCTTCGTGGCTGTGCTGTCCCTCCTGTGGAACACCCGCCAGCCTCAGCCCCTCCCAGAGCAGCCAGGCCCATGTAGCCCAGGAGATGTCCGACCTGGACAGTCTGGAGAGGTGGGCCCATGTCAACATCATGAAGTTCAACAAGCCCAAGAGCAAGGTCCTGCACATGGGCCGGGACGATCCCATGCACAAACACTGGCTGAGTGGAGAATGGATTGAGAGCAGCCCGGAGGAGAAGGACTTGGAGGCGGTGGTTGATGAGAAGCTCAACGTGAACTGGCAATGTGCTCTTGCAGTCCAGAAGGCCAACCACATCCTGGGCTGCATCAAAAGAAGTGTCGCCAGCAAGTCAAGGGAGGTGATTCTGCCCCTCTATACTGCTCTTGTGAGACCCCACCTGGAGTGCTGCGTCCAGCTCTGGAGTCCTCAGCACAAGAAGGACATAGACCTGTTGGAGATAATCCAGAGGAGGGCCACAAAGATGATCAGAGGACTGGAGCACCTCCCCTATGAAAACAGGCTGAGAGAGTTGGGGTTCTTCAGCCTGGAGAGGAGAAGCCTTCCAGTGTCTGAAGGGGGCCTAAAAGAAAGCTAGAGAGGGACTTCTTACAAGGGCATGTAGTGATAGGACAAGGGCTTCAAACTGGAAGAGGGTAGATTTAGATTAGATATCAGGAAGAAATTTTTCACTATGAGTGTGGTGAGGTACTGGCACACGTTGCCCAGAGAAGCTATGGATGCTCCATCCCTGGTTCAAGGCCAGGTTGGAAGGGGCTTTGAGCACCCTGGTCCAGTGGAAGGTGTCCTTGCCCATGGCAGAGGGGTTGGAACTAGACGATCTTTATGGGCCCTTCCAACCTAAACCATTATATAATTTTATGATTCTATGATTTTATGTAGTCCTGCCAGACAGCTGCAGCCAGAGAGAAAACGCGGAACTGGAGGCACCTTAATTACTGCTCTGTTTCAACATTGAGGTGTTTTGCAACACAGTCTTCAGTGAAAAACAAAATACTGAGAAGAAAGATGCAACAAAATCCTTCATTGTCTTGCTCCATGGAATAAACCTCCTTTTTTTCCTAATCCTGCGTGCCATGACTCCAGGGCTTTGCAAGATAAGCCTCCGCATCTCCCAGATTCTGATCTCCATGCTGGTCCCCATCCAGGAACAGCCAGCCTGTTGCCTCTCACTTTGCATTTCCTTGTGCCCAAAGCTGTTGCTCTTTCCTCTTCCATCCAAGAGCCATCTTCAGCTGCTTTTGTGAAAGCAGGGGTGGCAGGGGCAGGCAACCATAAGCACAAAGGACAGACTGTTAAAACAGGCACAGAGACATCACATTTAACCGTGGTTTGGTCTCTGACATAAATCATTTGTCTTAAAAATCAAGCAGGGCAAGCAAATTTGATACTTCACCTGAGGACTTTCCTGGCCTCCAACTACTTTTGGGCCAGGAGGTTTCCTCAGCCAGACATGGTTCCTACATAGTAATGCTCTTCCAGGCTCACCTTGAATCCCTGTAAATGTTTATCACCATTTAGCAATGAGTTGCACAGCCCAACCACCACTACACAAAGCTCCAGCTCTTCTGATCTGGTTTTAAAGCCTGGTGTCTACCACTCACGTGGTCATGTGGATCTTTGATTGTCCTTGTGTGCCCTTCTCTTCCATTGTGTCCTTTCTGAGACAAGAAGGATGATAAGAAACTGTGGGTTCATACCGGTCCAAAAAGATGTGCTTTATTTTCTTCTCTCCACCTTTCCTCACCAATTTCCTTATTTGATCATTGCTGAGATGACATTTTCAGGGACAAGACACCACTCCTGAGGGGTGAGACTCAACTCAGAGCCTGTGTTTTATGTGTCTGTGGGGGATTGCATATTCCTACCTGCATCACTTTTACAGTTACCTACACTGAACATGACCTGCTGTTTTATTGCTCTGTCCTTTCCCTTTGACCTCTTCCTGCCATCCCCCCCTGAATGAGTAACTCATACCATCACCAAATGCAGCTGCCTCACCATTCACATCCTATTTAG